ATGTTCGTGTTTGAGATCTTGCAAGTTGAGCTTTCTTCATTTGATCTTCCCTCTTCTTTGTTGGATTTGTTTTGCCGTTAAATTTTTTTTTTTCCTTTCCCTTTTATTTATTTTTACTTTTTTAAAAGCAATTATTTCACATGATGAATGCTTGTCCTGGTGAAATTTTGTAATTGTTTTTTTTTTTGGAAAATTTTTTAATTATTATTTAACCATGTTTGAGTTTTATTTTTGAAGAAATGAGAGTCATATCGGAGAGAAATTATTCAGAACACGAGGTGTCCTAACAAATGAAAATCATTGGGTTAAGTAAAATATATAGTTTAGAAATAAATATATTAGTTTCAACATTGTTTTATTTTTTTCGAATTTTAATGGACCAGATCAATTGAAAATTTTCAACCAAATGCGAGATCATTATATAAACTTTCGATTTATCGTTTGCATTTCTTTAGTTTCATTTTTTAGGATGACTTCGATTCATGACAATCCCACAAAAATCAAAAACCGAACATAGTAGTTGTTCTACATAGTTTGCTAGGAAAGAGATTGTTAAATGTGACATATAGTAGCACTAGTTTTTAAAAATCAAGACTATTTTTCTTTTTTTTAAAGCGGCAAAAAATATATCATGTTGGATTTGCAACGGACATGAAAGAGCATAATATTTCTTATTTGCCGTCAATTAAAGAGCAAAATTGAAGTTATCCTATACTGCACAATAGCTAACAAGAAATTGTCTTGAAATTGCCATTTGTAAAATCGTGGACAAATTTCAAACCCAACCTGTTTGTCAAAAAATTCCCAAAAAAGGACCAGTTTCAAACTTAATTTCAAAAACCGACCTAGTTGGACAGAAACTGGGTCGGTTTTTGAAAAAAAAAAAATCCCAAACTTCACGGGAGTTGAAGTCCCGTGAAGTTTTGTTATGTAAAAAACTTCACGGGACTTCAACTCCCGTGAAGTTTGGGAATTTTTTTTTAAAAACCGACCCAGTTTCAACCAACTGGGTCTGTTTTTAAAATTAAGTTTGAAATAGATCTGTTTTTTTGAATAAAATTCAAAATAGGTTGGTTATGCAAATTTGTCCGTAAAATGGTTAATGAACGCACCTCGAAGTTTTGACCGTGTAAACTTCAGAGATAAGCTTACTTTTGACAAAATGTTCTATAACACCCTCATTCAAGGTTTTTCCTTGTGCTCATCATAAGAAGGAGATGCGTATTTTTAGCACACATATCTCTTCCTCTTTGACTTTTTAGAGCGCAAAATTAAATAGGCTAGTCAAAGATTACCTCCTTCGCTTCACACTTGTTATACTATTTTATGCGTTATATCATGTGTTTTGATAAATCTGTTATGTTAGCCCTCATACGATGCAAAATGATGCATAATTCATTTGGAGATAGAAAATTGTATCTATATTTGTTCAATTTGTCACTGTTATGCCCAACTAAATTGTATGATTGTAAAATTACTTAAAGATAACTTTTGATTTCTAGGACTATATACAAGTATTAGATACGGGAGTGTGGGGGGCTTTTACCCCCCTCATAAAGAAGAAGAACATCGGGATTTTTTATATGGTTCAATCGACCAACTTCGGCCTACATTTACGAGGCTCAATACGTGAAATTCATCGTACAACGGAAGAACCTTGCAATAGAAATCACTAATCTCGTGTCTCTTAGTATTTCAAACTCTATATCATTATGAAATCTATAATTCTTTCCAATTACAGAGAATCCAAATGGGTGTTTGGTTCAATTTCTATAAATTATAGGAAAAGGAAAACACCCAACTTTTAGAATTCCTTGTATTTCTTAAAAATATAATAGGAAAATTTTTTAGAAGTCAAAAAATATAAATTTTCTTATTTTTTGTACTTTGCTTGTTTGGTTCAAAAAAATGGGCCCATAACTTTATAGAAATATCAATTTTTCCTTTTCTTTTGTTTGGTTACATATGCCAAATTTATAGAAAAGTGTCAGCTACCATATTTATCACTTTATAACCATTATTTTAACGGCTAGTTTTACATTATCAAATCTTATAAAATCTTTCTATCCTCAACTATCCATGAACACAAAATTTACACAATTTTCACAATTTGGCTCAACTATTGGTCTTTTATCAAAATTGATTGCCTCAACTGAAACGTACAAGTTCACGTAGATTGTGTTCTAATAACGTAATAAAGAACGCCTTATCTTATTATGAACATTATAAATTAGTTTGCAATCTTATTTAGGTGATCATCATCATCGCCCAAAACTCAATCTGAGCTCCAAACAGAACGAAAACACCACCAACAGCTCGAAATCCGAACAATATTATGTGAAGATAGAGCTAAACAAGCTCGAAGCAGCATATTAACAAAAAAAACAGCCCTAACAGCTTGATTGAGTGAACAAACATTAACCAAAAAATCCAACAATAAAGAGCTAAACAAGTTCGAATCAGCATAGTTGTTTGCGTCGAAAATTAATGTATTCATTGCGGTATTCATTACAACTTCGGTCGTTACAATGAAAACAAAAGATAATCTTTTTATAAGATCTTTACACAATGAAAACAAAAGTTACAACTCTCGTCAAAACAAACGCAGAGATCGTTTATCGGTCTTCTGCTTGCGTGGGATCTTTGCCTGTGCCGGGGTTTATCCGTAGACCGCCTTAGATCTGGATCCGGTTGATGGAAAATTCGGCAGAACTTCTCCTTCGTCGAGGAAGTATTTGATTTGAAGCGCTGAGATCGACCAAGCGAAATCAGGGCTCTTCTCGAGATTAAGACCAAGCCTAATCTCAAGGGACGGACGGGAATGGGTGTCGGATCTCTCGAACTCTCCTTCTTTATGCCGAAGAACTCGCCAAGATCTGTCAACCCTCGCTGAAATTCGTGCTCCTTTGACTCCACAATCCGGCAGCACCTCCTCGTCTTGATAATCAATCGCCCCCGCTGAAAGGAGGCCCTAGGCTTGTATTTATAGGGCTTCGGAAGCGGTTATTTGGATGAGAACAAGTGATTTGGCCTTATATTTAGTCAATAACAGCCTAACCACGTTTGTAGATGATATCAAGTCAGTTGGCAACCTCTGGAACTAAAAAGATCTCGAGAAAATCGTCAAAACCGTCGAAAAACACCTCAGGGGGTCAAAACAGCGCGACGGGTCGATCTGACCCGCGGGGGCGCGGGTCGGCTTTGGCCGACCCGCCGACCTGCGGGTCGGTTTGGTCCGTACCGCGCGACGCGCTTTTGGGCTTCGCTGACTTTCGTGTTTTCCGGTTCTTCCATGACTTGTATTTTTTTCCCGTTTTACATATTTGATCGTCTTGTTGACTTGCACGCTTCGTTACGGGATTAACTGTAGAACGCGCGTCGGTTGATACACACGTGTTGATTGACGCACGCATGCTGATTGGCGCGCACGAGCTGACTGTCGAGCGTGTAGGTCACTTGATTCGCCGTTTTGCTTCATACGCTTGTCGGCGTCAGATAATCCTCTTAGACTCGGATAACGATGTTCGTCGTCTTCTCTCTGTCTCAAGCTGTGTACGGACACCTATAGGCATTTTTAGACGCCTACAGATACCCCCTCCAAAGTATTTCAGACTCATTCTTTATTAAGGAGTCTGGAATGCTTTGGATAAGATAGGTCATCTCCTCAATTTCGTAAAGTGACCTTGAACTATCTCGATTCTTAACTTCTTCAGTCTTCAATCTATTCATTGTTTCGTCGAATAGGTGAAGTTCTTCCGGCGCTGCGTTTATCGTCTGACCGCTGTCGAAATCTTGAACTGAGATTGGTGTGTAACTTTCTGAACTTAGCTCGTGCCATTGAGTTGACTTTGAACTAATCCTCTCCATCGGGAATTCATATCTGATTGTAACTGAAATCCTTGGAGTCATCTTTTGCCTTATTTTGGCGAAATTGCTGATGCGTTGACCGGCATCGATCTTTACTGTAACGCGTTGACCGGCGTTAACACAGTTTATACTCGTACGTTTGCTGGAGTCTACACAGTTTAAGCTCTTAAGGCATTGGAGCGTGACGGTCCCAAATGTTGGGCTGTAGGACCAACTATTAAAGCTGATTCATCTGTACGTGTGGATCTTATCCTGAAGTTTGTTGGATGTTTAAGTCATGAGACCAACTAATGAAGCTGATACGTCAATGACTCGTACTTATAGATTTTTTGGCAAATTCTCATCCATCAACGGGTTTGATAAGCCTTTACCGACTACCGTTTGAGTCGGGCTAGCATGCGGATTGTTTAAGTCCGTTCCGCATGTAACGTTATGCTAAAAGAGTTAACTCTTTTAGTGCTACGATATTGAATACGTAGACTTCGTCTTTCTCACGGGAATAGACTACCCGGCAACGCGTGTTAGGCGTTGACTTTAGGATTTTTGGCTAATCCCCAGCCTTCAACGGATTTGATTAGCCTTTACCGACTACCGTTTGAGTCGGGCTAGCATGCAGATTGTTTAAGTCCGTTCCGCATGTAACGTTGTGCTAAGAGAGTGAATTCTCTTAGACTTTGTGCTATGATGTTGAATACATAGGCTTCGCCATTGTTACGGGAATAGGCTACCCAGCAACGTGTATTAGACGCTGACTCATCCCTACTTAGGCTTCGGGATAAAATTCCCCAAGTTTAGACCTTGGTGTCTTTTTCAATCGGGAAAGACTAAACCGGCGACGCGTGTTAGGCGTCGGCATATCCTTTCTTAGGATTCAGGATGAAATTCCCCATGCGTGTAAGGCATG